GCCTCCAACCTACTAGCGATGGCCTCCAACCTACTAGCGATGGCCTCTAACCTACTACAGTAATGGCCTCCAACCTACTAGCAATGAATCGGTTCTTCTATATGAGGACGTTCATGTTTCATTCATTTCGTTTCAGAGTTCCAGCATGTTTCAGCCACACGAGAGTGATCAGCAGTGCCATCAAAAACACACGCCTCCGCATGACGAGCTTGCTCTTCATTGAACTTCCGCAGTGTCTGCAACGAGCTCGTGTGGGAAGTGGCAGGCCAAGGGTGTCAAACGCAAATGTGTTGGTATGAGGGCCGTGAGCATTAATGTCTTGAGCAAGGACATAATTACAAGAATTGTTGGCTGAAAGTCTGAAGATCGCGTTCAATGAGCTCATGCACCCTTAGTATCCCTTAGTGTGCTATTGGCCTCTTGCTGCCGAATCTTTTTCAACCTCTCCTCTTCCTGCCACCTTGGACATCCGAGTCCGAGGAATCAAGAGAGGCAAAGTCTGTTTGATGTGTTGGGCAATGGCAGGGGTTCCACCGTGAATAGGCGATGATTGTTCGCCGGTCTTTCTCCCCTCTATTGAATTGTCCTTTCCATGGCCTATTGCTGCGGCAAATGTAAGTATGCGTTGCCTAAAAGGGACTAGAACCCAGTCCTTTTTAGGAACCACACCATAATTAGAATTAGATTGGCCGCGGATTTGATGCACTCAAGGATTGCCTTTGTCAAACCGCCATGAAGAACCACAGTTTGAGAAGCCCATAAAGGGTCTACCCCTAATGAGGCCTTGGTGTAACTAAACCAAGCCTTCCTGCAGGCTTTTCAAAACTGGACCTTTTGGGGGGTGATTGATCCGGTCTTGCCATTACACGGCACGTGACAAGGAAGAGACCAGTTCATGCCATTACATCGTAAATAGATGTATATAAATAGTCCTGTGATTGATGCAAATGCTTGGGAATGGACTGAGCTGCATCAGCCTGCGGGTTCAAAGGATCAGGCATGAGTGAATGGCAGTTTGAAAACCAGAAAGAACAGACTGTCTGACTCGGACACGAAAACACTCTGGCAGCAGCAGCGTGGTCTCAACAAATAGTACAATCCATACGACGGTAGCATGGCAGAATGCCGCCTGGATTTTGCTTCCCCAATGCATTCTGGAAGACTTGAAGTCATGGTCCTCGCTCGTTGCTTGGCAAGGTCGCTTGGTCAGGGATATGCGACCTTCTCAGGAGGTTGCGCCATCTCGAGCGCTCTCCGCTCTCCTCCTTTCTACCAGCTATCAATATGGATCAGCTCAGGGATGGTTGGTATTATTGTTCTGATTCTGACTAGTAAAAGACTAAGAAGCTTCAAAGACATACTAGAAAGCTTCTTGTTACTACAGGTGAAACGATTCCCAGTGAAACGATTCCCAGGGAAGCTTCTAGGTACTATCGGTGGATGCATTGTTGGATCTCTACGAGTCATCAAGCCTCACCCGGTTTTCAATTTGAAACTGCCGTTGCTGAAACTCCTGCCTTCTTCCGAGCTTCTCTCACCTGAAAGGGCCGCATGAGTACAGATTCCACTGGGAGATCCTTCAGAGCAACTGCGTTTTACTTAAAGCAAAAAGAAACAAAGATTATCCCAGTACTTCTCATGAAGTCGTCAAACAAATAAATTGAAACTATTAACTATATACAGTACTGTAATAAACTGCTTTGAACAAATGTCCAAGAAACAAAATAATGATATCCTTCCCATTATCCAAATTCAGCACTGCACCTGCTCTTCCAGCACGGTCCTCTGCCTTGGATTCCATCCCCAAAATCAGTTGTGGTTGGGTATGACAAATTATGACAAACATCACTCAGTGCTGCAAACAGGGAGTCAGGGATGGATGGGGGACTGGATTGGGGATAGCGGGACAGGGAATCCGTCAAAGGACAAATGTCGTCAATTATCCAACAGTATGCCGAGTCCGGAGTCCCGAGAGACCATTTCCAACCCAACAAGTGACCTCAACGTCTGCCTGTAATCCTGGGCAATTTTAACCCTTCCTGTCTTTCTTTTCCTTTCCTTTCCTTTCCTTTCTTTTCCTTTCCCTTCCCTTCCCCTCCCTTCCATCCAAATCGTGCGCTTTCTTTCCTTCCTTATATACTTCCAATCCTGCACTTTTCCTGCCCTCCCCCTTTTACATGCTGCATGCCCAGGGCCCGGCCTTAGCCCCGTAGGGGCTTTCCCTAAGAAAAGTGTCTTGAATGTGTGTTGAGTCTATCATGCTGTGACAACGGCTGTCGAAGGACCAAACTATCCTCCTGTCATCGCAAGCCTCAAGATCATTTCTTGCTTTGTCACACACCACGACGTTGACAAGCTCTCAAGCATCCAAGCTATCCAACAATAAGTGGTGCCAACAATGGAGCATGCATTAAAATAGACTGTGCGTCGCGTGCGAAGCATTTGGAGCCATGCTGGACCCATCAGGTGGACGGAATACGACGACCAGGATATACCAGGGTCTCCCTGCAAAGCTTTCTGCTCAGCTGCCCGATCTCGCTCCAGGTTGTCCTGGGGTCCATCACTTCGAGGGTCATGGACTCACTCTCTAGGCGGAACAAACATGAATGCGACCGGGTCCTGGATCAGGCCATCAATTGCGTCCATCTCATTTACAAGCCTTCAAAAAACGGTTCCGCTGGAGTGATCCATTGCATCACGACCTGCACTTCAAGCCTCCAATGGAGCATGCCATCACCAGCTTCGTCACCAACAAGCTTTTTGATGTAGGAGCCCACCTGCTCTTGGACCTGATCTTGATCTGAGATGGAATTCGGATGGTTCGGAATAACTGTTGACTGTGCAATTTCGAAAAAGCCGCCAAGCAACCGGCAAAGAAAAACAGACTTGCACAAGCACACCAAACAAGCATTATAGGAAGCTAACTTAATGTCGTTGTGTGAACAGCCCAGCAAGGCACATGATGCCACACAGAATTCAAGCCACCAGTCCCTTCGTTGCACCGCATTGTGCTGCTATGACTGTCCTGATGACCATCCAATCCGGGCCTTGCGAGAGCCTCCGGTTGCAGCTCGACTTGAAGAGTCCTTGGCTGCGCGACTTTAACCTAGAAGCAATGGCCTCCAACCTACTAGCGATGGCCTCAAACCTACTAGCGATGGCCTCCAACCTAATAGCGATGGCCTCCAACCTAATAACGATGGCCTCCAACCTACTAGCGATGGCCTCAAACCTACTAGCGATGGCCTCCAACCTAATAGCGATGGCCTCCAACCAAATAGCGATGGCCTCCAACCTACTAGCGATGGCCTCCACCTAATAGCGATGGCCTCCAACCTAGAAGCAATGGCCCCGAGACCCACTTGCCGAGGTGACGGCTGTTGGATGCTGCGGCGTCAAGGCAGGTACCGACCTGAATTGAAGTCGTTGGTGGCAAGTCATGACACGACCTGGGTTTGTAGGATGCTCCTTGGATCTTCTTGGTCCTTTATTGGCAAAATTCACCATATGTCCATATGCGCTGAGTTTATCCAATTTCGTGACAAGGGTACTTCTTGTAATCTGTTTTTTTTGTGGGGTGGGATCTGTTCAACCACCATTCCAAGCCACGACTGCATTGTGGTGCGGAGAGCTTCAGTGCCACCACCTGCGGGAGATGCTGTTGCCAGTAGGCTGGTAAGAGTTCATGCTACAGTGGTAGCATTGCATTCAGCGTCCGATCACGCAGCATAGTGCGGTATGTCAAGATTCCAAAACCAAAAACCCTTTCATTCTACAACTTAGAAGAACAAATCATGTTATCGAAAAAAAAATGAAACAAAACATCCCTCTGTTCATGGGGCTTCAAACACTTCAAGCTGCGAGCTGCGGCCCCAGGCTGGCGAGTCTATGGGCCCTGACAAGTCTGCAGGTTGCGCATGGGTGGTTCAAAGGTTCGTGAGTACCCGCCTTCACACCATGACTGTTGCGGTTGAACAAAATATAATCATATTAATTGTGTACTAATTATGTTCAATTATAGCAAACATTGTTAAACTCAAACTCAAAGGTTCAAGTTCCACTTGGAAACCAAAGCATGAAAACGTGAAACATGGTGAAACCAAATCGAAAACCTCAAGAACCGACCCCCCCCCCACTTCTGGGAATCCAGCGAACTTGCCCCGGTGGGAAGTCGCACCTGTTCCGCGCAGTTGGAACACCGAGTAGGGTGGCGTCAGGTTGCATCGTCTTGGATGAAGAAACGGTCCATGCAGTCCATGGAGTGGATGCTCTGGTCAGTAATGCTATGTGTTTGCAATGTTTATACATGTTTTCATTAATTAATCATGTTTATACTATGTTTAGAGATATTTAGAGTCTAGTGCAAACAAAATTTCAACCGATATGCATCTCCTCTCCCCCAAGCATGTCCGGCACACCGGCGGCGCCGGCTTGTAGGGCGCCCCTCCGGGCGGCGCGCGCCGCACTGAAGAAGCCCTGCAGGTCGGGTGTCAAATGTCTGCAAAAGAAACCAGGCGCAACGTGACATGTGCAAAATCTGCTTATGTGTGCCTGGAATATGCTACCGGTATACACTGTAAGGGTTGACCTTGACAGGAGCTAAAGTTTGCGGGTAGTCTGGGGTTGAAAATGTAATAATGTCCCTCAAACTAACTTCGCAGTCGATTGAGGACGTATGATCGCTGGATACCTGGCACTGGGCTCTTCACTCATGTCTCTTCTGACGAAGTGCAAAAGTAGAAAAAAACTGTTCTGGCCCTCAAACGTGTAGAGATCAGGTTCTGTCTTTCGTTTCTCCCATTTTCAGCGGTCCCTCCTGCTAATCTCTGAGGGTGCAGGAGTAGGCTTTGCCTTGCAAGCCATTGAAGACTTTCCAAAGAGTGGGTCACCCTAAAGGCCTATGAACTCCAGCGATTGGCACAGCAACAGTTGACAGCAACTGTGGGGCAAAAAAATCAATCTTGTCTGCAATGCATCAAAAGACTTCCCCCCCCCCGACACACTTCGAACTTGGGTTTTCAGTTAACGCAGTTGTCTCGGTGAGAAGGAAGGTGATGGAACAGCAAGGCGAAAAGTCCGACAACTTGGAAGTGTTTTAACATCGATTGTTTCGCTTGACTCGGCTGCATATCGGCTCAACTGCAGCGCTGCTGGGGAGGAAATGGTTTAGGGGGAGGAACATGAACGACCATGGCATCAAAACACAGCAAGGAAGAGTGGAGTGGTATCATGGCGCAGGTACGTTTTCCTGATCGTCCAGTGTGGAGCTTCGTTGGCAGAGGCCACGACTGGAGATCCCTCTGCCCCCTGCGTGTGGAAAGTGGTGGAAAAATGGTGAAAAGAGTGGCGGTGGAAAACCCTTTGTCCAGGGTGGGACACACACAGATCACCGCATTCGGCGCTTTTTTCAAAAACCGGTGGCAAGCGTGGTAGTTATGCCCCTTTTGGACATATAGGTTCACGAGTTCAGCCGCAGCAACGTCAGCGCTGGAGGGTGGAAATGTGTATTTTCGAATGGTGTGAAGTCGTGATTGGAGGCCTGATAGAGCCAAGCGCTGGCTCCCGGCGGTTGTGGAGTCCCGGATTTTCCAGGGTTGAGAAGGTTGCATGTAGGTGATAGTGCGTTGTGGGAGGTTGATGTTGAAACCGAGGAGATGAAAATCTTCCACCGGTTCAAGTTCCACAGGGTCGCCAAAGAAATTGTGGTGGATGAGGGTTTGGATAGCCGGGTGTTGGAGGAAATGTTCGTTGTGGACAATGAAACGGTTGTCGACATACCGATAGTAAGTAAAGTGGAGGTCTGTGTGTTGAAGGAGGTTGTTGTGGATCTGATGCCATGAATGCTCAATAAGGGTGATGGCAACATTGCATAGGGCTGGAGAGAGCTGGGATCCAATCCCGGCCCCTCGGATTTGTTTGTAAGTGTTGTTGCAGGCCCGGAAAATGCATGTGTCGAGGGCAAAAGCCACAATGGTGGTGATGTCGGAAGTCTGGATGGTGCGTTGGGTAGGGTGTTTTCGGTGGTGTCTGCCAATGTGGGAGTGGTGGAACGGATTGCCGGTGGCCTGGACATCCACCGTTAAGGTGTGTGTGGATTGCTGTTGTTGCCAGTGGAGGACAAGGGAGTGGACTGCATCGATGAGTCGGTGCTGGGGGACGGAGTTGAAAAAGCCGACCAGGTCATCATTGGTGGCGTGTAGTGAGATGTCGGGTGGAGTTTGGGTGAAGTAGCTGTGAAAGTGGTGCCAAAGCTGTGGAATGGACATTTGGCCTGGATGTTGAGGGTAGAGGTGTTGGAGGATAATGTCGAGGGCACGGCTGGTGATGCGTAGCAAGTTGCCGCTGAGTGATTGGAAGTAGGATATAATTGTACGGCCTTTTTGCCAGTGCTTCTTCTCTTTAAGGTGGACAACACCATAGGGGATGTTGAAGTCTTTTCGGAAGCCCCACTTGTAGCGGGTGCGCAGGATGGGGGGGACCGTGGCGGCCAGGTGGTCATGGATGTTGGCGACAGTGATGTAGGGAAGTGGTTCAAATAGTTCGGGGGATTGCCAGGTGTTCAAGGCGCCAGTGAAGTATTGGCGAGGGCAAAACAGTCGCAGTTGTTGGAGCTCATGATCGGCATGGTGGAGTAATGTGTGTTTGCCCACATGTTCTTGGAGTTGACGAAGCAGGCGGGCCGTAAAACGGGGTTGCTGCTTGAGGTGTGTGTTGTGAAGGCGCCATTGGTGCTCAAGGAAAGGCTGTAGGTGTTGAACTAGGGATGGTGGAAGCCCTTGCAGTTTGAGCCATTTGGTGTAGGCCGTCTTGAAAATGAGGAAGTACCGAGCTTTGCTTGGGTAGTAGGTGCTGTTCATATTGGCGTTGAGAAAAATGCTGAGGTGTGTAGGGAGTTGGAGTTGGTCAAGTGTAAGGATGTAGTGGCCGTTGATGGTAGGGGTATCGGGATCCTGCAGGAGTGTGCGAAGGTGATCGCATGCACAGGGGAGGTCTGCTGGATCTGGCGGGGAGTGGAGGGTGTCCTCCCATGTGCGGTGGTTGTGCAGGTGGGAGCGGAGGGTTTTGTGGGCGGCTTCCCTCAGTCTGTGGGAGGGGAGGTGGAGGGGAATGGTGAAATGCTTGTGCTGCTGGATGGTGGTACGAAGCCATTGTTGGCAGTGCTTGGTGAAGTCGTCATGGGCCAAGAAGGGCACTGTCAGTGGGATGTTTGGCTTAGGGGGGTGAGGTTGCGGTAGATCAAGGCTTTGTTGAGGATGTGAAGAGCTCGGCTGCGGCCAGGTTCTTCCAAATTTGCGGCCATACGCCGGATTGCATACACCTCGAGGTCCGTGTGGCGGCCGCTTCTTATCTGTTTTTCTGCCTCAAAAGAGGCTGCGGTGTGTTTGGTAAGGTTGCGAAGAAGTTGGAGGGCGTGATGCTTGGTGGAAGTGTAGAGGTGTGGTTCTCGAAGGGTGTACTGGCGTTGTCGAAGGCGTCGGAAAAGTCGTTTGTGGGTGGCTAGTCTGGAGTAGAAGTGGGCTCTGTGTTTCGCGAACTGCCATCCCTGAGCTTTGAGTTTAAGGTGGTGGGAAATGAAAGGCCAGTTGAGTGAAGGCATCCAGTTGGCGATGTAGTGGTGTTCTTGGATCCAGGCTTGGTCGTATGTGTCATGGGAGGTGAGTTGGATAGTGGTGTAGTGGTGGATGTTGTTGTGTGAATGCCAATAACGTAAGGAGAGTTCTGCAGAAATGGGAATGTTGTTTTGGAGTTGTTTGAGTTTGGCGCGGCGATTGTGCTCGCGGTGGGGGATGCCGATAGCTGTGGAGCCAACGTAGAAGTGGCCATGTTGATGGTAGCAGCGTTGGGGTTGGTCGGGATTGAAGTGGAGCTTGATGTAAACGGAATTGGAAGAGAGGAAGTTGTGGTAGTGGTAGGTGTGGGGTAAAAGGTGGAGCTGGCGGAGGCGGTTGCGCCACTGTTGTGAGCGACGGGTGTTGGAGGGGTATGCGAAAAGAAGTGTGATGTGGATGAGGCCGGTTGCAAAGATGGCCTCGGCGCGGTCGATGTATTGGGTGCGGCGAATGAGGATGGAAAGTGCTCGGTGCAGGTGGAAGAGTTGGGTGAGGTTGGTGTGGCTGGGTTGCTGCTGGGCCAAGATGGCGAGTCAGCAACCGATGGCTGCGCCGACTCCCACCAGCTGTTGTAGGCTGCGAATGGGGAGTCTGTTGACCCGGTTAAGGGGGAGGCCATACTTGGTGGCTGCTTCTTTTAGCTGCTGCGTGGTGACTTTGCTTGTTTGCAGCAGTCGGATGACTTCCTTGGCAGCTTCTTGGATGGTGGGGTCAAAGGTAGTGACCCATTGTTGGATATCTGGGTAGTTCCAGCCTTCGGGGATGTCGTCTTGCAGCGTGGGGTGTGGTGGTTGCAAGACGTCGGTGATGGCTGGTGGTTTCGGTGGTGGTGGTGTGGGTGCGTGGGAAGGGGCGGCTGGTGCAGAGGATCGGCTGGTGTTCTTGACTGGTGTGAGCGGGTTGCCGAGGTCGTGGAGTTTCTGACGTGCACGAGCCAGTTCGTCGTTGGTGTTTTTGAGGGCGCGTAGGGCGGAGCCTTCCGCAGGCGCTGGAGAGTGGGTTTGCAGTTGGTCAATAAGCAGTTTGATGAGGGGAGCGTGAAACGCTCGGGCATGGGTAGTTTTGTTGGGAGTGTCTGTGCTCTGTTGGGTGTGGAGAGCCTCCGCGATGCCGTCAAGGTCAAGGCGGTTCTCGCGGAGTTGTTGGAGAAAATGGGTGACGAAGACCGACTCCGCTATGCTTCTGGTGGCAATGAAACCTGTGAATTTGCCGTTGCTCAGGGTACGGGCGGTGAACTCGGAGGTACCGTGGTAAGCCAATTGCCACGGGAAGACCTCAAAGGTGGGGAGGCCGGCCACTCCTGCTTTGCGAGACCACTGGGTGGGTTGAATTGTACGATGTAGTTGGGGTGTTGGAGTCCCAATGTTGCTCGGTTGGGTTCCAGGAGTCGGGAATAGGTGGTGTGGGAGATGGGATGTGTGGGGGCGGTGGGGCAGGCGCTGTGGTGCCACGTGTGGTGGGTGGTGGCGGTGGGCTGTGTTGGAAGGTCGATGGTGGTGGAGTGACAGGTTCGGCCATGGGGTGGCGGCGGCGGAGGTGGAAACTCCGGCTGGGAGGTGGGTGCCTGGGGTGGGGGTGTGTGCTGCGATGGCGGTGTGTACGGTGGAGTCACATAAGGGTTGGAGTGGTGAACGTGGTGTGTACGAAGTGCGTGAGTGAGTGGGCCGTAGGTGCCTGTGGGGCTGTAGGTGTGGTGTGCGGTGGTCTGGGTTGGTGAGCTGCTGATGATGTTGCTGCATCAAATAATGATTCCAGTAGTATTGCTGCCACTGCGCGTCCATGGTGGCTGGGCGAAATATCACTGGATCGTGGGCGTGGAGCACCGGTTGTTGATTTGAGCAAGCTGAAAATGGGAAAACAGGTGCAGGACAGTCAATTGAGGGAGCAATGGTGGCGTTAAAACAGTCATGCTGTCGGAAAACGGTTTCAAAGAGAAAAACTCGAAAGGCCGCGGAGAAACAGGAAAACCGGAAAAACCCAAGAAGGCATCTGTGTGGATCCGAACAACATGTTGAAAATCAGACTGTCCACTGAAACGCGCTGTTTTTCGTTGTGCAAGGTGAAACTCAACGTGGTTGTCTGCGGAGCAAGCAGGGCGACTGTACGAAGATGATGGTGGGTATGTTGTTGGAAAGTTGTGGTAAAAACAGAACTTACATGGCAAAAACGTGGAGGGAGTGAGGGTAGAAAAGGTGTTGTACAAATCATCCTCGGTGAAATCATGGCAGGCGCCTCAGGAGC